TCTCGCCCTCAGCAAACTTTGGCAGCTCCCTGCGGTTCCCAAACTACCCCGCTGTCAAACAAGTTAGTCATCTGTTTGGCAACATTCGTTGTCACAGGCTCCGTGGCAACAAGCTGCTGGCAGCGCAGCTGTTCCACCTATGCTCTCACAAACTCCCTCGTACAACATCTCATACCCCCCAATTCGTCGACGCGATTGGCCTTCTTTCCCATGGACTGTTCAACTCCAGGCACGCCAAGAAGGGAGGACACGCAAACCAATTCAACTTTGGCGGATCAAGAATCAACACTGCCATTAAGAAAAGGGCGGTGGTTGGGCTCTATGACTGTCAAGTGTCAACAGACTCTCGCCCTGCCCATATAACTATTGGATATGCTTAGTTGTGCCCGGGACAGCCGGCGGTAGTTGAGGTCAGGTGCCTCGAGCGATAGCGACGCTCGGAGGTTGAGGAAGAGAACATCCCACCCGTTCCGAACCATCCCGCATTTTCAGCCTCTAAACCCCGGAACCGCGCGGCCACCGACAGTTGCGGAGACGGCCTATGGAGATCTCAGTCCCGGCGGCTATGCCATACTTTGAGGCTACGGTTACCGGAGAGTCCTATGCTTCCTGGCCGACTCGCTCTGACTCTCTCTCTCAGCATTGGCCTCGATCATGATATCATCAAGATATATCGGGGACGATGAACGCCGGCCAAAGTGTATAGTCATGGGGCAAATGCTGGACGTTGTGGATTCCCGCTCGCCGATCAGGTTCGGCAACGTGCACGCATCAGACAGGTGTGACCGGCAGATCCCGGACGGGAGCGCATCCTAATTTTGCGGGCAGCGATGCAATGGAACACCATACTCCTGGACCTCACGCGAACAGTTAGCCAGGAACGTTCTGCCTCACAGGGAGACCCGTATAATGTATCCCGTCGCCGTGCGACTAGCAGCCTCGGAGGTCGACCAGAGTTCCTCGCAAACGTCCAGTTGTGTAGTATCATTGGCTGCAGGTGACGGCTCTGAACGAGAGAGCACCAGGAACGCTCGAATGCCAACACAGCCTCAATCAGCCATGCCATGGTATCCATAAGGCGGGCCAGGCGGGGTACCCACCGCGGAAGTTGGGTCCACAATGCTGTTTGTATGAGTGTTTACGGAATACATGTTGGCTGAGAAGCGACGAAACGAGAGCGAGATGATGGGAAGGGGCATCTCTCCGCCCATTCTGTCAACAGTCTCCCGGACTCCGATGACGAAACGAGCCTGTTGACCCCGAGGTGGACACAAGCTCACCGGTACTTTGGTGTATTCTAAGAATCCTCGCCAAGCAGTGACTGCGCAGCAGCTGTGTCGGACCAGGCCATGAAGAAAGAACCCAGCTCGTTGGCGAAGCTACGTCAAATTCCAAAGATGCCAAAGTGCACACCAAGTCTTTTGCTTGGTTGAGCTTGACACCAATAACCTCGCGCCAGCAACTCTCAATACCGACGCCGTTCGGATGGGCTTGCCAAGCGAGTAAGCAAAGTTCCCTGTCCTTTTACGACGCCCTCGATGTGGCGTGCCGGGCACTTGCAGATTGGCCGCGAGTTGTCTAGAAAGTCGGGTGCTATAAGACGGCACGGCTTGGCAACACAGCCTATGGCGATGAGTTGCACAGAGGTACACACGTAGCACAGCGGGACGGTTGGGATGTGTGGGATGGCCGCCGCACAGCAAAGCAAGAAGCAGAAACATGGCACGCGTGTCTTTTGCTACTGGCCAAGAAGGTTCTTGTGGCTTATCTCCCTCAAGCGTTTTCTTCCCAACCGGCACTCCAGGGACTACCTACCCAAGCAAATGGGCTGCAGGCTGGTAGGTGTCTTAATAAGTTCAGGGCTGGCGGATGACGGATTGGGAGCGCGGGATGGGATGGGATGGGACGGGGAATTATGATTCGGAAAACAAGTGCCCGGTGGCGGTTCAATACTAATGACTTGGGAATGAAAGAGGATGAGACATACGGCTTGCCGGCGGAATCGGTGCCGTTACGGCCATCCGATGTTTGAATGCTTGATGCTTTAACGTCCTCTTCCCTTCTCCGTCTCTTCTTGACTTCTCAAACGTGGAGGTACGTACGACATGATGTAAGTAGCTGACGATGACTTTGATGACAGATTCTCAACTCAATTCCTAGCCAGGAGGAGTCTCGTGCCGCGTAAATGGGCAACATCAATCTACAATAGGAAATCTAGAACGCTACAAGTCAAGAACCATTCAAAGTCAGCGATCGACGTCTGAAGAAACCTTGGCAACGACTTGTGCTGTGTCCCATTGTCTTTCAAGCTACAGTCTTTGCGTCCAGGAACTTGGGATGTCCAGGACTAGGGGCGGACGATTGGGGGGGAAACAGATCGGGAGTACCTTATTTTAGAAAACTGGGCGCACGGCGGCGCAAGAAAAAAATGGAGGGGCGCCCGGAGGTCGGGTAGGTTAGCTCAGCCGTCAGCGGTAAAACGTCCGTTCAAAGGGTGTCTTTGGGGACGGAGCCCGTATCTTGGATCGTCATTGCCAAACTGATTTAGCATTTCTCTGAAAGGTAGATACATCATACGTCAAGCGGAATACTGACCATCTCTCTGAGAGAATGCGAGTATTCGTGGTCTCGGTTTCGCCTTGCTGGTCTATCATAGCAGATTAGGAACCTAGAGCAAGTCGCATAACGATCTTGGAATACGTGTACCGTAGTTACGACATGGCCCTTCCGTGGCCAAGGCCAATCGAGGCCAATTCAGTGTTGACGGAGAGCTCAGGGTAAGGTAGTATCCGTAGTACCTTACGACCTTGGACTAGACAGAGTTCCGCCTGTCTGTCATCGCTCCGCATAATGGCGTGGGATCACAGACTGGTTCGTGCGAGAGAGCAAGAAAGAGAGAGAGTCATTGACGATGACGGTTGAACCAGCACCCAGAGGTTTGGACCTGTTGCCTTCTTCCCCCTCCCCAGCCGCGTCAACAGCAAAGCGTTCTGCATCCAGCAATCTAGGACTATCCTGGACGGGGAGGGCGCCGGCAAGCAAAAAAGACGACACTGGGGTGCTAGGACCGGACATTGATGGGCCTGCCGTGGTTTGGGGGCTGGGTAAGGACTCTGAGTGAGGGTCTGGGCCGGACGGGCCTCAACTCCAGAAACGGTACCATCCGTGTGTCATCGTCCCTTTTTTTTTTCTTTCCTTGGTGGTATTGTTCAATGTTCCCTGTGGACAGAAAAGTGCTAAGGTAAGGTATTTGCTGTGCCACAACACGCGCCGCTTGGCGCACCCGCACTTTTGTTAGGTCAACCGCCATGGTCCTGGACACTGGGCAGATAGAGACCAGAACTCAGGTCCAGAGTGACAGAGTCCAAAGAGAATTGAGTTGAGGGAACCCGCACTGCCCTGGTAGAGAGAGCATCGTCCATTCTCAGGGTAGCTTCCGTGGTGGACTTCCATGTCCCGGTTTTGTGTTTCTTTCTGGCTGCAAGGTACGCGATACGTAGCTACGCAAGCAAACATTTCAGAAGATGAAAAAAAGTACAGACGATTCTTGTTGCTGTATGGATACCTGGCCAAGGTACTTTAGTAGACCTGTTGCTCTTCTGGTTTACAAAAGTCCCTTAGCTGATGTTTTATTTTCTTCTATTTTCTTACTCGCTCTACTCAAAGCATCTATCTGTCCATTATTACGCCCTCTCTCGGACTAGTTATCAGCACTCTCGAATGAGAAAACAGACACTCGAATTGATTGATCAACTCGCCAAGATCCAGAAAGCAGCAAGAAACAAAACAAGCTTGGCAACGAACTGCGAGTAACGGTGGGATACCGCCCGTCACTTTCGCGCTCGCCCGTCTGTGTGCTCCGTCCTCCGTACCCCGGGCCACATTGTCCTTCTCAAGTCCCCCCCTTTGGCCCGTCTGTCTGCCTGTCTGTCTAGTAGTTAGCTCCGGCTCTAGCAGTTAGTTCTTCGGTTTTCCTACAGGTATTCCTATTTGTAGCTGTACGGAGTATCCGTACTACGGGCAGCATACATACTTGGGTCCTTTCCCTTGCCATTTCTTCAACGCGCGATTACCCCCCCGTGGAATTTCTTCAGCTCGTATTCCCAGCCCAGCTGCAACGCCCGGCCTCACCAGTTCCTGTTTACCCCCGAATCAGCCGTTCAGTCACGTCGTCGTTCCAGTTGGCTGCTCCCCGGGAACGAAGGAAAAGAAAGGGAAGAGACGAGAAGTGAGAGAGAAAAAAAAGATACAAGGAACACCACCCCCCCCCCCCCTTTCGCCGCACCAAAGGTATCTAAGAAGGTATTCGCCCATCGGCCTTTCGTTCCTTCCCATCGGCCTGCACTGACCCTCGGGCCCGTTTCTTTCCAGCTGCATCTTTCTCCTCCACTACGGAGTACCTTACCGTTGTACATTTGCAATCCAATTGCCAACAGCTTTAAGCTCACTGTCGTCGTCCACCACACATCCCACGACCACCACAACTTTCTTCCTTCTCTCCTCTTCCTCATCACCTTTCCATTCTTTCCACTTCCTCCCGACATATCCGCCATTACTCACTCACTCCGCATTCCCTTTTTGAGATCATATCTCCACTCGGCGCAGAAAAGGAGACGAACGGATTGATCCCGCGGCACCCACCTCCTCAAACACCCAAACATTGTTTACTGGCACAATCCCATTTGTCGCCTTCTCCGCCCCCCGACGCTTGCTACCTGCTCCCACCCCGATACGACCCTGCGACGTACGGATCCCAAAAAGACGAACCCACCGATCGCCACTATCGACGACTTCGTTTAACACCCTCGACTCGCAGCGCCCACGATATTTTCTTGGGCCTCGTCTCGATCTTTTCGACGCCGCAGTGCTCGACGTCGAAAATCGGCTCGGACGATCCGAACCTCGATCCGCCCGTCAATTGACTTCGGGTCGCCTATCCTCTTCCCCCCGACGACCCTCTCGCCCGATTCTCAACCACAACCACAACCACAACCGCAGCCATGGCAGCAGCAAATCCCACCAACGTTATTCGGAGGTACGTCGCCTTTTCGATTCCCATCGATCTAGATATTCGTCGTTCTCCGCCGCTGGCCACGCCCTCTTGCTGGCCATGCGCAAAGCTCTCAACATCTCTGCCTGGTTCTACCGAGCAGGGGCAGCCTGGCTACTGTAACCCATCTTATCTGCTCTTTGCTTGCTGACATGCTGCCTCCAGGAAACTCGTCATTGTAGGGGACGGTGCTTGCGGAAAGACTAGTTTGCTTAGCGTCTTCACACTTGGATATTTCCCTACCGTATGTTCAATTTAATAATCCTCCCCAATGATCTGATCTCGAGTCTCAGGATCTTTGCTAACAATCGGTGTTTTGCAGCACTACGTGAGTACCACTGGCGACTCCTCTCTTCGCCCCAACGACCGATTTCCTAACGAGATTTTGATTCTTTAGATTCCTACCGTCTTCGAGAACTACGTCACAGATTGCAGAGTAGATGGAAAGTCGGTGCAGCTTGCGCTATGGGATACCGCCGGACAAGAGGACTACGAGCGGCTACGTCCCCTCGCCTACTCCAAGGCGCACGTCATCCTGGTCGGCTTCTCCATCGACACGCCCGATTCACTCGACAACGTCAAGCACAAGGTGGGTTTGAAAATGATTGAGGTACTTCAAGATATTAGGGCTGGACAGCTGACAGTAGGCCACAGTGGGTGGAAGAGGTTACCCGACTCTGCGAAGGCGTCCCCATCATCCTCGTCGGACTGAAGAAGGATCTCCGCGAAGACCCCGTAGCGATTGAGGAAATGCGAAAGAAGTCGATGCGCTTTGTCACACACCAAGAGGGCGACGCTGCCGCCAAGGAGATTGGAGCCCGGAAATACCTCGAATGCTCCAGTTTGAGCGGCGAGGGCGTCGACGATGTCTTTGAGGCCGCCACTCGCGCCGCCTTGTTGACCTTCGAGAAGGGCGAGGGAGGCGGCTGCTGCGTCATTCTGTGAAGGAAGCAAAGCCCCATCCATCATTCACTATTCTGCCCTTTCGACCGACAATGAGTGCAGGCACGACGCAAGCGAACTGAGGTAATCCTGAGCGAATTTTTGCTGGAGAAATCAGGCTGGATCACAGAACCATGAGAATGCGGGCTACTTACCGTATGTGAACATCACGCCGGGTCCGACCCAAGAAGCACAGAATCACCTCAGCCAGCTCCCACAAACATTATTGGGCAGCTGGCTTACCCAAAAAGGGCCCCAAACAGGCCTGGGTGAATGTCACTTGGTCGGTACCTCAAACTCTCAACAAGCTCGCCTGGTTCACACACCTTTTACAGCTATCGCGAAAAAGCATGCGAGTTCAACTTTAATCCTCTCTCTCTCTTTTCTTCCCCTCAAGCGGCGTTACAAACAGCAGGAACAGCGCAAAACACTCAGCGGAAACGTTATTTATGGAAGAATCTGAGGGACTAGCCCTTTTTTTCTTTCCATTGTCTGTATTAATAGGACAGCAACCCACATAGAACGATTGCACCCAAAAGTTCAAGACTAGGAAGCTGGTTATTTGGGAGCTTTGGAGTATCCACGTTCTGCTCTCTGTCAATGAGAGATGGCAGTCACTTTACGCAATAAACCCGATTAAAAGTTTTGAACCCCCTGATCCAGAGCCTTTCCAAAAACGTTGATTAGTGACATGTGTTTTTTTTTCTTCCATTTTGTACACTAGTTCATACAACAGACAGTATGCTACAGCGGAATTGACACTTGGCGTGTCTAGATTTTTGGTACACGGCTGATGAGCAAACCCCTTAAGACCTTGTCCACCCCCCTTTTTTCATTCTTTTATTTTCCCATTCCTGCTCGTCTTCTTGCAACGGCATCATCTACCGCTTCCACTCGTGGTTCCACGCCTGTCGGGCAGGCGTCTCGCTCTGGTAGCGCGCGTACTCAATCGGCACGGCATTAGGTCCGTAGACGCCCTTCTTCTCCTGGGCGACACGGTACAGCCACCCTTCCTCCCTGGTTCCGGGGCCAGCCGTGGTGCGGAGCTGCTCGTTGGCGGTGTACATGCTCTGCTGGATGCGGAGGAGCTCCCTCTCGCGGGCCTCGCGCTGCTGGCGCTGGAGGAGGAGCCAGGCGCGGTGGATGGTCCAGTGGCGGAGATGGCGGTTGCGAGCCATGCGCAGCGCCGGGGGCGCCTCAGCGAAGAGCTGCTGACGAATGTTTGCTATACGGGCGACGTATTCTGGGTTGATGACGTTGTCCGACTTGGATTTGCGGGCGGCGAGGGGGGTTGTGGTTGAGAGGGATCGGGTTGTCGTGGTGGTCATTGTGACGGCGGCGGGTGTGGAGGTGGTGAGGGTTTGGCGGAGGCCGCTGCGGAGAGGTGCGAAGGAGGCCATTGTTGTGATTTTGGGGGGATTGAGTCTTAAGTGACGGCTTGTGGCGAGGCTGGGATATCAATCGTTGACGGGATCAGAAGTGGGAGGTGTCGGGCGGTATTTTGGAGGGCGGCCTCGTCGTTTCTTGAGCGGAGGTTCCGGATTTGCGACGCGAGGAGTCTCGTTCTTCTCTATGCGCTGCTGTTGATGACGCTTCTTGCGCTTGGATCCTGCAACGACTATCTCGGCTTGGGTGTCGTCTTCAATCACGACCGGGTGGTCAACTGCAGGAGCGTGTTGGGCTTCGGGCTCTGGATCGTCGAGATACCGTAGTCTGATTCGGTGGTGCGCGGCTACGACCTCGTCGGGGATCGGAACGTTGGCGAACACGTCGTGGTAGTCGTTTTCGAGGGAGAGATGTCGCGGTGCTGTTTGAAGGAAGAGAGCGCCAGCGTCGGGGTGGTGTCTTCCCACGTATTTTGCGTAAAGGGAGTGGATTGACTATCGAGGGGATCGTCGTTAGTAAGGTGAAGGTCTGGCGATGAAGCTCGGTGGGAAATTTTGGAATGGGGAATGGAAGATGGAGCATGATTTATCCGGGCTCTGCAAGCTGGCTTGTGCCTGCAGGCGGGAGTGGATGGGATGGGGGAGTTGAGACCCCTGCAGGGCGTGACATTTTAGCGGACCCTGCTTAGACAACTTGCAGCTGTGCAAGTCATCCGCCATCCACAATCATCTACACTATTTCCATTTGCCATGTAAACCATCCTCGACGACAGGGAAAGAGGAAGAAGCAGGGGCCTGGGGATTAGGAATTCCTTCGCGACTTACCTGGCAGATTGATGCATCATACACCAAAGCAACACTGTACTCCTTCTGCTCAAAAACGAGTTCTCTAGCCTCCATCTCGTCCTCCACTTGGTGTGATCTCGCAAGATTATTCAGCACTGCACCTGGCGACACTGGGACTAGACTTCGATTGAATGACAAGACCACGAAGAGGGGCTTCAAGGTCTTGATCAAACTTTCGATGTTCCGGGTTGTATCTCTGGACCAGAGCCCGTCAGCGTCGTTGTACATGTCCCAGACCAGCCAGGCAAACTCCCGTACGACTGGACTGGAGTCGAGGAAGCGCGCGTATGTCGCCGGGAAGCCTCCACCAAATTTCAACATCCACAAGGTGCAGATTCTCAAGAGGAGCTCATCAGATGGATCGTCAACCCTTTTCAGCAGTTCCGTGCACTCTGCTGGAAAGTCCAGAGTCAAAGAGGAGGCGGCGGCGGAGAATGCCATGAGGGTCACGACCTGTGCGAGAACCTTTGGAAGGAGTATCTGCAAGCGCATGACATCCTCCCTGGGATCGCGGGGGACGCGACCACGATAGGCGAAGTTCCGTCCATCGTAGGAGAAGATTGGGTCTCCCGCTGTGTGGCCGAGGAAGTACCTCGTGTGTGCGAGCGACCGGGCGACCCTGAGTATCTTACTCTCTTCCACGTCCCCCTCCTTCTCCTCCCCCTCCTCCTCCTCCTCCTCCTGCTTATTCAGACTCGTGTCCTCTTCCGAGACGGTGGCGGTCGAAGAGGAGGGTCTCTCGCTAGACAATACAGTCGGTGGATTGGTGCTCATGTCTAGCTCGAGCCACACAGGGTCCCAGTGGGCCTCGTTCTGGCACATATCCATCTGTACCTGGAGGTGTTGTCGCTGCTCCTGAAGCCGTAGCGCCGTGGGTTTGACGAGCTGTTCATCGGCTCTCCACAATAAGTTCGCGTCTGGGTTGAGACAGTCCACCGTGAGGCCCATATGATCCCAGAGATCGAGGATGGAGTCCTCGAGAGCGATCTGCTGGCTCCGTGAGACTTGCAGAGCTAAGAGCGCGGTCTTGCAGAGGTCGTTAATATCGGCACGGGTTGTCTGCCAGATGCTTCGGAGGCCGTGCTTGTCGAGAAAAGCGTTCCAGCTCCGATGGAGGCCAGCGTCTCCCGGGGGCCTATCAAAGGGACCTGGAAGACCTAGGGAGGACATGCTGAGGTATATTAGTTGGTGGTTAGTAGCTTTCCGCGTAGTCACCAATGTAAGTGATGGCGAATACGATGCTGCTGATTGGCGAGGATGATGACGAAGAAGTTGACGATCGAGCTGATCAATGGTCGGCTCTTTCTCTATTGAGTCTACATACTTCATGGGTTAGAGCAGGAACTATCCAGGAGATCATTCCTGGGCGTGTTGTTTCGGAGAAAAGTTATGCTTCGGAGAAAGACCATACTTCCTCTTCTTGCCTTGCTGTGGATTGCCATCAGGGACTTGATGTTCAGTGTAGCTGGCATCGGGCACCGAAATGCCTCCGCCCTTTCTATCAGCTCAGAATTCTCATTCATTCGTTATCTTCAAATTGATTGCTACGTAAGGTTATTCTATGGTTTGACTGGTCGATGATGAAGGCTGGATGTAGTCTCAGCTAGATCAGATCGCTTACGACCACCACGCGAAAGGTCATATTCACCTTCGTCAACAGCAAAACCTTTGACATTCGGCGACTACGTTCAGCATTGATATCTAACTATTGTTTACCGTAACCAGGCGTGTTCTCCTGTCTGTGGCTAGATTTTGTATCAATGAAACCCTCAAGGTACGTAGCATATTGCAACAGGACAGAGTAAAAGTTGACCTTTTGAACCTCTTGGACCATCATTTGAGGTTTGTATGAGCACAAAATTAAGTTTGTGGTTCTTCAGAAAGGCATCCCGTTGTCATAACTAGGCAGCATCTCATAGGACTTTCATGTCTACCCTTATCCTTGATCTACACCGTGAAAGCCTTTTGCCAGATCCATGTCTCGAGGTCACTCTGAAAAGACCCGGCATCCGGCTTGACCAGCCTTTGCTTCTCTGATGTATGCAATACCAACAATGGGGGCTTCCTGCTGATGGTAGTAACCCTAGTTGAGTTAGTGTCTGATAAAAGCTGCCATCTCATCTAGCGGCTTTCTGATGCCGACAAACGGACGTTCTTCTTTGGTACGTGCGGGCCTCCACAAAGCCGGTTTGCCGGTGCCAGCTGCCTGCCTCCCCGCATAACCCACCGGCGCACCTATTAGTGGGTGCAGCTTCATGGTGATGACCGAGGATGTAGCTCATCAACAACACTCTTCCATGTCGCCATCCATGCAAACATAGAGCTAGGCGTCTTAAAAGTCAATGCTTCCTCTTCCCCAATTTCCATCCGCGGAATTCGAGACCTCATCATTTTCTCCAGAAAAGCTTGGGGCATACATCCCTGACTGGGAGCAGCACATGTCACAGAACCTGCAAGAAGACGTCTAATTGAACTATTGTTTCCCGGAATTCTTCCCGAAAACCCCCACGATCGTGATTCCGCGTCTCCCCGAGCCGGAACCTGAACCACCACAGTAACTCATCAAGACTTATTGCTTCGAACCAACCATGGAGCATGCTCTCAACGCTGAAGAATTCCTGGCCGATGTCACAGGAGGAAACATGGCAGTCGTACGGTGGAAGCACACACCAGACGCCTCAGACTTTGACGATGCTGCGGCGTTTGAGATTATTCGCAGGGCCATCATTTCAGAGATGAACGACCCGCAGAGGCTCCGCAAGGTCGCGGTCG